CCCTGGATTTGCGCCCCTGAGTGCAGTCCTCTGTGCCGTAACAATGTCACCCGCTGTACTGAATAGCCTCTCGGAAGGCACTGACGTAGCTGGAATACACAATACCCCTGCTGCATAATTGGCTAATACTGGATACTGAAACTGAAACTGAAACTGAAACTGAAACTGAAACTGAAACAGTGGGTGCTCGCTTCAGCTTGTATCACGCGCGCGCGGGCACTCAGGTGAGCATAGGCTATATATATAGACTCCCTAGTTGCCGTGCTCTCTGCCTCGCTCACACGTCTGCCTCACTCTGCCCGTGCAGTAGTACCGCGCAGTGCTCCATGCAGTGGTCGCTTACCAGTAATACTGTATGCGTCGTGCAGGCATTGTGCTTTCGTAATATATATACACCGCCAGTGCATAATTTTCGAGCCCATGAACAATATCGAGTTTTCAAAATATATTGCAATATACCGATATACCGGTATATCGTTACACCCCTAGTGCTCAGTCAGTCATAACTATTCTAGTCTGGAATTGCATCCAGATTAGTGTCAAAAATTGAAAGTTATGGGACGTATGCCATGTTTTATCAATTTTATACAAATGATAATACAAAATAATAAAATGATATAATGTTATACAATACTTACCAGGTAGCTACATCTGTATTCTTAGATGCCATCTTGTATAGATGGTTCAAAACGGGGAAAATTACTCGAACTTGTGGAAGCTGGTTAACCGCACACGGAAATGAGCTGTTTGAATTTCGCGGCTGTTGTTGTAACCATGGTCACACCACGGAGGTAACGACTCAAAATAAACATAACATTTAACAAAAAAAGAAAGACTGAATAGATATTTAACTGTATGTAATAAGTTTATTAGTGATATGGATTAAACATTTGTCATTTAATAAAATTAATAATGTCGAATTCATGTGTCAAGTATTGCACAACACACAATTATCCGCGATAATTTCAAATGAGCGGCCGCGCTGATATTCGGTGCGGACCATGCCGAGATGGTTAATGTGAACTTTTCGATTTTTGGCGCTTTCGACGTTGTTATATTTTTCTGATTTTGTGCTGAATCAAAACGGTTACAATCGGTAAATTATGGTTTTAGTGAAAGACGATTGCACAAAGAAGTATTTGATACAGGTTTAAAGGTAATTATGTGCGTATTTTTAACATACGGGGCCAAGACGAAGTGGCATATTTACGGCTTCAAAACAGTGGCTCTGCGTTAAGTACCTTCCGCTTCGCTCTTAATATAGACTTATAATTTTTCGAAACTTGAGCCTCCAAGGGCCTGTGTCCTGACAAAGCTGTCTATATGGCATGGCATGGCATGGCAAATCTGTCCATCTTTTACACCAAAAGCTTGCGGATAATCATTCGCATCTTCTGGCCCCGGACGATATCTCACGACCTGCTTGCGCAGTCTGGCCAGGAGAGCATGAGCACCATCATCATTCAAAGACACTAGAGGTGGCTCGGTCATGTCGTCAGAAGGGAGAATGACCATCAGCAAGACAGCCCTTCACTGGACACCTGAAGGCAGGCCCAGGTGCGGCAGGCCCAAAAATACATGGTGGGGAACTGTGGAGTCAGAGATGAAGACCCTTAAACATAGCTGGGGCACTATTGGCAGGCTGGCTAATGACAGACAGGGATGGAGTTCGTTAATTTGTTGCTGCCCTACATGCCAACAAGGAATAATGGACAAGAAGAAGACGAATATATTACACCCTTATTAAAATGATACAAGTACGTTGTAATCAAGGTAAGTTAATATGTATAGAATGCAAGTAACCTGTGGTTAAAATTAACACAAATCCACGGCCTGGGATTATGTAGTGCATTTCCATGCGAAATTGCGACCGGGGCTCGAACACTGGAGATCGTGATCCAAAGCCCATGGCTCTATAACCACTCTGTTTCTCATAAATGGATGACATCCCAAGTGGATTTAAAAACGGAGCAAAACTAA